GGCTTTTCATCAATTTCCGTACACCAGCCAATTACGTCGCCACCATTTTCCCCGTGGGAGTACCGTCGGGCCAATTTACCCGTGAAAACTTCTGTCGTACTTCCCGCGGAACGCAAAAACCTTCTGTTCGGAAAAGTCGTCCCTCCGGGTGGAGAAAAAGACTCTGTTAGTTTGATTCGTACATCAGGCCCTGCTTGCACACGCGGACCGCCAATAGGAATCGGTAGTAAAATTCTGCTCGACCGCGATGACACGGTTTCCTGTTTCCGTTTGAACTACGCGAACCGCCGCCCGTGTGCCTTGTGATCGCCAGTCGCGTTTTTCTCCGCCCCCCCACCCCGGTGGGCGTCGGAAATTCGACCGGGGCGAGAGCTTTCGAGGGTGAAAATTAATCCATTTCGAAACCACGTATCATTCTGATTCACGCCATTAAATATCCATTCGTTCCACTGAACTTTTGTTTCAAATTTACTTGTTAGTTGCAAAGGTATTGATTAAAGTTACCACCCTCTCCAAGCATAATAATCCTGGGATTTTCAACCAAGTATTTTACGGGTATTTAAACGACGAATTAAGTCGCCGAGAAAGGTTCGTTTCCGAAACGGTTTGCAACGAAATGCCTGGCTTTCGAAATAATTGAGAATCGAGAGCTCTCGTCCCGGAAGAATTCCAGTCTCTTGTTCGCCCGTCGATGACTGTGATTGAACTTTTATCTTTGATCGGACTCGCGGAAACACGAAGAGCGATCGGGAACTCCGGCTTGTTCGACTCGAAGACGATCGTGGATTTGGAACTTGCCACCTTTTGGAATACTTCGCGCAGAATTATCGAATGGCCGAGAGACCCTTTTAGCCGGAGGAACTCGCCGGGAAGTTGAGCTTTCTCCTTTCCTCGTTGCGTTTGTATCCGGGATGGGGAGGGCTCGAATAACTTTGCGATCGAAATACGTGTAAAACACCGTACCGCGCGTATCGTAGCTTAAACTTCTCGAACTTGATTGTAACATACGTGTACGTTATATTGTCCCTCTTGAACCATGAATGTGCCCATTCGATAAATTCCGAAATTTGCGGTTCTGGCGTTGCCAAGTTGGACGATAACTCACTCTCGTGAATCAAGCTCGGAGCATAATCGCAATTGTTATCTAAACTTTATGATCCCAGAACACATGGTATTCCGATTTTGTTATACCTATTCGCGGCCCCCTCGAAAATAGAACTCCTGTTTAGTACTGTAGACGAAAAGTTTTCATTTATTTACAATTTACTTCCCGATGGAACATCGACGGTGGATAGCTCGTTTCCACGGGGCGAACATGGACGATTTTGTTCGGCTGGCAGTTCCCGTGGAACGATTAATTAAATCTAAATTTAATTCCCCCGTGGCAGTAAGCCCCGACAGATATACCCGTCCGTGGTCGCGGCTGCTTCTCGCCAACTTTCGACCATGCGTAGGGTAAACCGCAGCTCCGTTAAGGGCTCGTTACGCGTAAAAGTGGAAATTCAGCCTCGATCTCTCCACTCCCAGCGCTCTGTTTCTTTATGGAATACGCTCCAACGCGCGCAATTCCGAGCGTTCCGCGAGTTTAACGAGCCGTTCCCCCGCGTTCGTTCGTCCTTACTTTGCTCGCGCGCGAATAAGAATTTGAACGCGATTCTCATCCGGATAAAAGATAAACACTCGTACGAAAATAAAAAGTAAGAAATAGAGCCCTCGTCGGAGCATCGTCTATAGCGTAAACTTCGTTTACGAAGGATTTATGGTCGGGGAGTCGGAGTGCTGGGCGACGCTAAGTTTAGCGACGACACTGATCGCGAACGCGGTGAATCACTTACGGGGGCACCACGAAACCTCGTGTTAGTCTTACTGAAATCGTTATTTTCGGAGCACGCATCTCCCAGATGTCACGGAACTCAGCGGGAGCGGGAAACGTATACGCGTTTGTTGATAGATGCTACCGTAGCCTGGAGGTGGCAACAGTCTCTATCAACAGATAGTATAACAAAGGAGACTAAACGCTCGGGGGTTTTAGTACGTTTGCGGAGGACTTTTCGCGGCAGTTTCTCGCAGATTCCTTTCCACCGGAAAGAAAACTCCGCGACTCGATTCTCTGTCAATAGCACGTTAAAACGTTTTACCGGTTCGTTCTTGACTTCGAGGTCCCGTTTCCTTTTCAGAATCGTTCGATTGTCGGCAGAATTTAATCCTAATTGTGCCAGAACGTGCCTTTGAATCGCGTATAGAATTTATGTAATTGTTTTGTCACAGAAACGCGTGGTCGGAAAAATGTTAATTGCGTGATTATTATTAATGGCGAACAGCCGGGAATATCAGCGCGGCAGCGAGCGTCGTGTTCACGAGGTTTTGTATTTCGTGTCCCGGCAAACAGTGCAGTCATTAGCAGGTATAACATTTACATTAATTATGCGCGTTGGTTCCGGCATTTTGGTGTGACTCGTTGTAACGAATGCCCCGAAATCACACTCCTTTGTGTTTTGACGGACAGCCGACCGCAAACAACGACGAGAACCGGTGAATAGCTACGAATCGTGGCTCGTCAAACTGGTTCCCTCGGTTTATCGTTTCTTTTCAAAAGCACGAACAACTCTGGTTCGAACACCTCGGATCTTTTTCTTTCTGGAAACTTCTCGCAGAGCCTCAAAAAACCGCGTCAACAACACGGCTACAATGGAACGCGATGAAATTGTGATTCGGAGCGAATCGCGAAGGTTGTTTCATCCCCCAAAATTTGAGTTTACCGCGAGAATAACCATGCTTTGTTTTTGGCTGTTCCGCAAACCTGAAAAGTTTTCTGAAAATCGAGGCAACGGAGGTTTCGGTCGTTCCGCTGTACTTTTCTGCTTCTCCTTTGCATCCCTTCTCCACTGCAAAGCTCATGCTCTCCCTCGATCCCTAGGGGTTTCTCTGTTTGATTATTGCGATGTGGTTTATGGCCTGTATATTTCTTCTCGACTATCCTCGCCTGTATCCAAAATTCTTGTCTTCGTTGTTCTTACTGTCCCCGTAAATTCAAGCTGCGTTTCAACATTCCGACTGGCCGGGATATGCGACGGAAATGGATTCTTCGTCTCTGCTGTCTTGTTTACGAAGTGCTTGCTTCATAGTCTCATATTTACCTGTGTACCTTCTCTCCAATCTACCCTCGCGCACCGAGAATGCTTCAATTACCAGCTTCTGTTTAAATCTTGTTCTATCTTCTCGCAACATATGCATGCGTTAAGAAACTGTCACTCGAGACAGTGATTGCGTATCAATTGAGCTTCTCAACATGGAAACATGGAACTACCAGCCCTTTCAATTTATTTTCTTTCGCCATATCATCGAGATAGGATAGTCACCGACCCTTCTTCACTCTTATCTCATCTTGGAACCAAAGATTTCAATAGCCAGAGCCTCGTTAGCCGGCAAACGCCGTTGCCCAGCGTCCACCGCGAGGAGGTGAGGTTGGCTCATGCTGTGGGGGCCGGCAGGGGGTGCAATACCTCCCCCACAGCTTTGGACAGCCGATCACTCGTGACGCTCGTAAAAGCATTTGCCACACAATTGTTTGCAACGACTTTGGCCGCGGATAATAGCTTTTATAATGTAATTTAAAGACTCGCCACGGGGTTGGGGAAAAACTTTGGCTATCCATGGGCACGATAAGCCCCGAGAGAGAAGTTCCTTCAGGTATCAACTCGAGATCAGCGCGAAGTTGGAGCGGGATCTCTGGGACCTTGGTGTGGCTAGCACGAAACTTGGAGTTTCGGTCAGATCGTTAGTTTTTGTTAAATATACCGTTGAATAGGTCCGAAACAGTTCAAAAGCGATGACCAACGTTATTCTCTATATACGCCCCTCGACCGGTTGCAGCGATGGTTCCAAAGACGAATATTTACACGCAACGATTACCTTTTTAAGAATCGTTACCCTATCGAAAAGGATTGATTCGAAGTCCCCGAGGGAGGGTGGTTCGACGGAAGTAAAAGTGGACCGATAACGCGAGAAGGCCATCAACAGGTAGGAAGCTCGGCCCTAGTTAGCCATCTTCGTTCGTAGTTCGATGTTTTTTTTTTCTTTGGCGGAGGAGTCGAAAGGTAGCCGCGAGTGTTGCGCGACGCAGGTGCGTCCCGGCGTCGGCTGTCGCACGGGCCGAGTGACGTCGGATCCGCACTCCGCGGTCGTGTCACGGCGCACACATGCCTGCCAGATGTAGGGGGTGGAGTGGGGGAGGTGGGAGAGCGCGAGACTCGAACGGTGCTCGCCTAGACGCCGAAGCAACGCGCACAGACGCGCTGGAAAGCGGCTCGGCACCGCTCGGTTCGGTTCAGTCGCAGTCACGAAGCGGCGCCGAGCACCACGATTCTCGTTCGCGTTTCTTTACCTCTCTCTCTCTCTTTCTCTCTCTCTCTCTCTCCCGCTCTCTCTCTCTCTCTCTCGCGTGAAAATCCGTGCTCTCCACCCGCGACGAGAAAAACGCGCCGTCTAAAATTAAACTTTCCGACCGGTGTGACCGCGCGTAAGGGAACGTTTCCTCTCGCCTCGTGATTCTATTTTCACCGCCGCCCACTCCTATCCCTTTGGACCTGGAGACGGCGGTTGATTCGCGCGCGCGACGAGACCCAGGGAGCAATGAAGCAGGGAAGTGAATTTTTATCGGGAGCAGACGAACGGGCTCGGTGATTCCGCGCGCTCCGCTGCCTCTATGCTCCGTCTATAATTAAACGCGCGAGATAAAACGGCCAAGTACTACGGCGACGGGGGATCGTACGCGCGAGCATGCCGCAGCATCCCGTGGAACCGGCTCGCTGATCGTGAGGAGGACGTTCGAACAGGGCCTGCGGAGAGACTTTGGTATACGTGCGCGCGCGAACCTTGACCGTGAGGCTGGTTCGGAGGTTTCTGTGAAACGACCTATTAAACGGCTCTATTTTCGTCTCTCCCTGCCGAGTGTCGAGGATGCGCTCGTGTCACCGAACCAAGACGAGGGTGCCTCTTTCTTAGAGCGACGGTGTGACGTGCGGGGAATCCGAGTTCGCGATACTGTGTACACGTTCGACGGTGGTGTGTTTTGACGTCGTCTCGAGCGAACAGAAGCGTTACCGAAAAGTGCAGCGACGGTACGAGGGCCCCCCTTTGGAGACACCGACAGTGGCAGCCGGCAGTTACGAACGTTCGTTAATCATGCGCGCGTAGAGAGTATCAGTGGTACACCGAGATTTTTAGGGGTGGAATAGAGACAGCAGGGCAAGAGAGGAGACAGCGGAGCGACGCTTTTAAACCGATGAGATGACAGTGCTTTGCGTGCTGTGGGCAACCTTGTCCACCGTGGCATCGATCCTCGCCTGTTCCGGATTTTATCTGCCTTACTGGATTCAGGTGAGCGACTCCCACGAGCTCGCGGAAACCATTCTGCGCCCTTTGTCCGCGCGCGAAACCGAACGCAACCCCGTGTGGTCCAAAATGTTGTTGTTGCTTTGCTTCTTCGCGGAACGACGGCAATTTTTCCCAGTAATTTGGGAAAGGAACTTTTACACACCGACAGCTCTTAAAAAAACGGTACCGTCAGCACGATTAATAGCTTCTGGTTCGTAACGTGTAGTTATGAACGAGCTTTCGTGGGAAAAATGGCACCATTAATACCATTTATATATATAAAAAAAAAAAGGATTCGGACACTTTTGGGACAAAGCGTGTAATTTCGGATTGAGAGTCGGCGCAGCGTGCGCGCGATAACGACGCGAATCGTATTTCACCGCGATCGAGCGAACAGCGTTTTTATCGAATTACCAGCGATTTATCGTCCGAAGCGTTATTTTTCTCGGCTTTGCGATTTCCATTAACCGTTTCCACCATCCATCGAACGACCGAGCCTACCGTGCGCTCTACTCGACCGATGCTCGCTATTTTTTTAATCTTTATTTATCTATTTTCTTCTTTTCGACGTGTCCGTTTTCTTCGTGGCCTGCGCCGAGTTCATTCAGCGGAAGATCGTCGGCTCCCTTTGTTCGAGAAATCGTCGTTCGTTTTCAGCTCCGACGACGGACGCTAGTCAAACGAGTCGGGTTGGTAACTTGCAATCACTATGTTTGAAATGACAACAGAGGCGTACCCGCACCCGTAGGGATGTTTTGCTGATTGCTTCTCGAATATCTTCGCATCGCGTCGTGCAAATAGGCCCTAAACACGCTCGTACAACGATCGGGGTTGGGGAATTCTTCCCAAAAATGGTTGACTCAGTTCACGAAACAAATTCCATAATTTTAGTTTCGATATAAGAGTTCGTAAATATTTTTTACAAATTATGGACCGAAGCACTGATTCAATTTTTAAAACCGTGATACCGGATTTGTACCATGGACTCGCGTATCAATTCTGATTCTAATTAAAACCCGGAGCGAACCTCTGTGCACGAGCTCCCGCGTAACAATTGGCCGCGGAACCTGTGGCGGATTAATTGAGGTTCAAAGTTAGCGTACCAGCGCCATCAAAGTCAATTGTAAATGCTCGTCGGACGAATCCGACGCGTCGTATTGTTCCAGGCATTCTGTCTTTGCAAGTGTCTTTTCTGACGGATAGGTTGCAATGCGCGGAAGCCTGAAATGCACGGCATTCGAGAGTTATATCGCGATCGCGTGTTTTCCCAACGAAACTTTCATCGCCGTCGGTGTCAACTTGACAGTGTTTTGTTCCTGGAGCACGTTCCCAGACATTTTTCATTCTAGGTTCGACAATATCTTTTTATTCCAGATGCTCGAGAGTTCTATCTCCTTTAAAGACTCCTCTGCACGATCCTCTCTATCTTTAATCGCGTTTTTAAATTGTATAGCGGCCACGTTGGATCAATTAGTTTTAATTATACTTGGCTCCGTTACAGGGAACACTTTGTTCGAAATTCAATCCTGTCTCGTATCAATTGTATCTCCGCTTAGAGCACAGTTGCAGCCTGTTTCTAGAACCACTCTCCGTGGAACGCCGGGCATAAATGATTCGATACGATTTCCTAGAAACAATTTATCAAATGTAAATTGGCTCGAAAGCCTGCGGACAAAAACGCATCGAGTGCTCCAGATGCAGTCGTCGATTAAAGTGGCGCGTCTGAGAGGAAACCGCAGAAGGCTCGTACGATTATGCACCAGAGACAAAATAGACGATTGTTCCGAGGCTGGAATACTCGAAGAAATTCCTGTTAAAAAGATATTTAACAAGTTTGATCGGGGCTTCGTCGAAGGTTAATTCGTTGGTGCGCAGATACCCAAGATCGCACGTGACAACCAAAATTTAATTTCCCCCCCCCAGCAACGTTTCGTGAACGATTCCACGACGAAGCGAGGGGGGAGGTGAACGCATAGCAATGGGCGATATTCCGTTCGACAGAATCAAATTTTCAATATCAATTGTATCACTCGCGCGAACGGATACCGCTGGTAGCGTGTTTTGTAAATTAAACACGGTCATTTGACTGGATTAATAAACAGCGGCAGTAAATTGTTCTTCCGTGCGCGGCGGGAAACGAGCAAAATCTCGATTACAACGTTCCAGGTGAACGCGCGCGAGTTATTGGATTTTCCGCGGCGCGTATCCGCGAGAGGAGCAGGAAAACGTTTTCGTTCGGTCCTCGTTAATCCGAATATCCATGAGTAACAAAGGCACGGGCAGAACCAGTCTCGTTACGAATGTACACCGTCGTCCATAAGTCATTGGACACTTCTGCCGCACGGCTCGAAAAATACGAGCCGAGATCGGTGATATGCTAAATTTTATTCGAATAATAGATCGCCAATAAGAGCACAGCGCGGGAATTTTATTTGCTCGATCAAACGGCGAAACTTTTTATTTCGACCAACCCGATGCAGATTTCCCTTTTTTCTTTTTGCGCGAGAATTCGTAAACACTTTGGGCGGGGGAAAAAACACACGACACCGAATTGAACTCTGTCCGTCGCGTAAATCGTGAACCGTGGAAACGAAAATTTGATGAAAATTTGCTTTGCAACAAAGTTATCGAGTCACTGCGTTTGGGATCTTCGGTGCCAAACTCGCTCGACGTCGAGTTGCCACAATACAAGTCAGCCTTCAGACTTCGTTGTAATTTCGTGTCTTGCGAGAGACCGTTAGCGAAATATATTATTATATTATAACTCGGTGTTCCCTCGTCTCGGCCGAATTCCAGCAGAATATTACACCGAGCTCGGAATGAAGTTAGTTCAGAATTTCAGTTAATTATAATTTCGCTCGGTTTGCGAATGCATAATTAAATGAAAAAAAAAACTGTGCACCTCGTAATGGATCGGAGTTTAATCGTTACGCGCGAAAGCAACGATCATCTTCGAAGTTTCTTCGTCGATCGAATAGCGAAACTATCCCCGTGTTCGCGGCGTCCCACATTTTCGGTCGATCTTTCCTGGGTCAAGGGGTTAAGCTTAACAAATGGAGCGTTGCTCGACGTCTCTTATTGTGGAAATTCCCGGGCGAAAGTAGTCCGGAAAAATCGAACAGCAGCACGTTCCTACGTTTACCCCTGTTGCCGTCGAGGGTGGCTCAAAGAACAGACTCCGGGGCAAAGAAGAATAATGCCTATTTAAAGCATCCGTGACGAGGGAGCTCGGCTCCTCGTGAGACGTCGACGCTTTCGGACGTTTCCACGATGGTATCGGAGCTTTCGTCGGCCCCGTTAGGCTCCCTCCATACTCGTAAAACCGTACGACGTCGTTTTTGCCCGTCGAACGCCTCCGGGGCGGACAAAGTGCGGCGCAAAGTCCCTTCGCGATCGGCGTTTGCATACGCGAGGCTTCGCGATCGTTCCACGGTGAGGAAAGTTTCCGAGACGAAGATTGGCGGGGCGTCGGGACGCAAGGATCGCGCATTAAATTGGCGCGAAGCTTCGCTAATTTCGAGCACATCCCCGAGCGACGACGCGGAACCAACTCGCGTCAAATTGGTAACTTGGAAACTCTATCGCGAAACGACAACTCGTATTAACGTTACCCAGGGACGCGAGAACAAAGACTCAAAGAATCGATGACACATAGGCTCTCGATTTTCGCGAAATTCTCTTGTCTTTTTCGAAGAGTAGAAGGAAAAACTAAAATTAGCCCAGTTGGAAAGTGTAAGGATTGTCCAGGATGGTCAGAGAGGCGTGTAAACGTAACGATATAACTATATTATTGAATATTTACTAAAACTATTTAACGTAAAGAACATAAAACATAGGGACATAAAGCGTAAACATAAAAGAAGAAAAACCATAAACGTGAAACGATAACTGCTCTCGTCTAGCGTTCGATGCAGAGTGATTTTCCAAGTCGAACATTCTCGATTTCTCTCTACATACATTCCTATCTAACATACTTTAGCTTAAACCTAAACACCTCACTCATCGATTCCAACGATCCTAGCCTAAACACTTCTATCGACGCCAACGATAACTTTTCTCCAATCCACACACATACACTCCTTACAAAAGAAGGGAACGGTTTTTCCTTTTCCAAGACGTCTTTTCGAGGATCTTTTGCTCGCGTACGCGGGATATCTGGTCTGGAATAACTTGTTCCCCTTGTCGCTCGTCCGCGACGCGTTAATAAAATTTTATTACCACTCGGCCAGTACGCGGCGACATTGACAAAGTCGAGCATCCTCGAGGGCTCGTGGCACCTTGACGACGACGAAACACCCGGGGTTATCTTTACCAATTCCGCCATCTATAAATCTGTTTGTCCGGTTTTAAACGTCGCAATGAAACTCGACGTTAGAACAAAATTGCGTTTGCCGCGTCGCGGTGCCGGTAAACGGTTCCGTCGGATCAATAATTCCGATCGGCCATAGATTCGTGCGTATCGGTAGCGTTCGCGCCGTTGACGTCTACCGTTAACGATTAAATTATTACGTTATCTGCCGTTTCGAGCAAATGCGATAAACGCGCGCGCAGATTACACGCGTCCCGCGACCAAGTTTCCCGATATTGCTTCGCTATTAAATACTCGCTAACTTTACGCTTGTCGACTGCAGCCTTCGGGAAACGAAAGAGGGAAACTTGGGGTAGAAATTCGAGACCTTTCGTCGAACTTGCTTGGCTCGCCAGACGCACGAACGTTCCCCCCTGATTCGCGTCGTTATCCGTTGATTTCCGCTCCGCGATTAGGCACGATTCGATAAATTATCGCGGTTTGGGTCGGGCCTACCGATCATCGAGAAATTACCGGTTCGATCACGACGATTTTCTCTCGGGAAGAGATCTGGATCGACGAATGATCGGTAGTTTAAACATTGTGTACGGCGAATATTAATCACAGGTTTAAATCGCCATTATAGCCGTCTATTTGCGGTCCGACGGAATTTTGCACACGCCTAATAAAATATTTAAAATACTAGAGTACGTAG